CATCATCATCATCATCATCATCATCATCATCATCACCACCATCATCATCGGTCCATTAAATATTCCAAATCTACAAAAAATAAACCATCAATTTTACATTTAATTTAAATCCAATGTAATAGAAATTGCTTCTTTTCATTTAAAATGAAATGAAATATGTAAAATATATTGATTTGAAATTAGAAATAAATGATTTGCATTTTAGAAAAAAAAAAAATTGATGACTTCGTGAAGAAAATAGCGTGACTGTTATTAACATGTATTAATTTTGTGCATATTTATAGCTCTTCAATATTTTTCAATTATCAAATTTTTTTTATCAAAAAAAAAAAAAAAAGTTTGACATGATATCATTTGTTAGTTTTGAGGTGGTGTTTTTTAAACTCTTTTTTTTGCTGATATTAGTTATTCATTAATTATTTAAGTAATTATTTAGCTAGTAAAGAAATTACAGATTTTTTTTTCCACATCATATATTTCATGCATAATATACATACAAGCATTAAAATGTATTAATTATTCATCTCCAGTTAATAATTTCATTTACAAACAATAAATCTCAATTTAGAAATCTCTCTAATATTTTTTTTTTAACTGATTGTAATAAGTAAATAAGATGAGAGGAATGTGATTTATAAACGAATGAAACCAATTCAATCATTGGAACAGATGTGCGTAAGTTTAATTACACTAAAACAAAAAGATAAATCTTTTCGAACTTCATAGGTATTTATGATAACATATTTTAGCAATTCTAACTTTTTCATCTTACCTCTTTCTCTTTTTCATTCTTTTCACACTCTCTCCCTCTCTCTCTTCTTTTCTATTCCCTCTTCTCTTTTTCCTTTTTTTTTTTTTTTGATTGAAAAGAAGGAAAAAAAAAATTCTTCTCACTAAAATTTTGCTTGCTAAGACAAACTGACAAATTGCAAAGAATTTGTTTCCTTTCCTCCGTTGCTGCTTTATTGTAAAATTTTTACACTTCCGAAAAATTTTTCAGTGCAACGAGAATTACTAAAATTTCAAAAAATGAAAAAGTTTATTTTGTAAAATTTTTTTATTTCGAAAAAAAAATTCAGGCTTAATTTATTGTCTTCAAAAAAAGAAAAAAAAGCATTCGACAGCAAATTTTCACTTTTTCTTTTGCATATTTACTTAGCATGATTTTTTCCATTTTTCTTTTGCAGCTTACTGATTTTAATAGAAGATAAATGATAAGTATAATTCGGGCACACATGTTTATCCTGACAAATTTGAATGTTAAATTTTCATCAAAACTTATTCAAAGTTCGTTTAATTAATTCTGTCGTTCTAAGACTATTCCAAAGATTTCGCATCACTTTCTAAAACTTCAAAATTCATTCTAGAAATAGTGAAAATTCTTGCATAAATGAACTGTAAAGTAATAAAGATGAAAATTGAAAATTTTATAAGATTTAAATTCAAATATTATTCACAAATAAATAATGAATAGCAAAAATAAAAATATAATGACAAATTATTGAGCAATTTTAGCACAAACATGTTCCAAGAAACATATATGGCAAAAAAAAAAAAACGAATACAATTTAATAAAAAAATTTTTCAAAAGATGAAACGTCAAAATATACTGATTGTTTCTTGAACATGGATGGTAAATAGCATTATTTACATAGCATTATTTATTAACATAGCATTATTTATCATATGCAAGGAAAAATTTTATCAATTTCAAAAATTTATTTCCTAAAATTAAATTTGCAAAATAATCAAATTTTTATCATTTTTATAAGCATGTAATGAAAAAAATAATACAATGTTTTTTTGTTATTAATTCACTTATCTTTCATATCATCTTTATCATTAATAATTTAAAATTATTGCGAATTAAAACAAAAATAAGAAGCAAAATTAATATTTGATGATCATATTTTATGCTTTGCATATTTGTGCAGAAATAATTTAGCTTTACGAGATAAGATTGTTTGATTTCAAATATTTAATTTTAAATATTTCATTTTCAAATATCAAAATTATTTCAATCAAACAATTGTTGCATTTCCAGCATCGCTAATAAATGAGCTATTCATTGAACATTCACGAAAACTACCAAATTTTGGTGATCGTGAAAATGAATGCCTTAATTGTGTGCCGTGTCGTATGATTTGCGCTCGAAAGCTATCAATTCGTTGCAATGATTTACCAAATCGATCTGATTGATCCGATCGCATATTGCCGCAGCAACGGAATGCGCATACGCAACCTATTTGAAAAAATTTTAAACCAAATATAAATAAAAATTAATTAATACAAATAAGAAATAAATTAAATCAACTTTTACAAAACATTCCATTTTTTTCATCCATTCCAACGAATAAAAATTAATCATATCAGTTAATTGTTAAATTCATTTCACTCTTGCAATCATTCACAAATTGAGTCAATAATTTAAAGTTATTTATTAGAAATTTCAAATTTCAAATTTCTTCGGAAAAAAAGCTTATCGCTCATATGTAATTAAAATAGTAGTAGATGAGATAATAGCATTTTTTGAAAATAAATTTTAAATTTTATTCGAAAATATATCAAATTAATAAAATATTACTTACATGTAATCATAATAGTAAATAAAACAGCAACACCTACAGCGATAATTAATGATAATGTACCCGTATCAATACGAACTTCCGGTTCACCCTTTAAATCATCGTGTAATGCTGCTGAAAAAAAGTCTTTTCATTTTTTGAAAGAAAGTTTTTATGAAAAAAAAGAGATAATGAAAATGATAAGTGATAATACTTCAATAAGGAAAATAATACTGTAAAATGAGAGCGCATTTTGCTAATTGAAAATAATTTATTGGAAAAAAGACCAATCAATCGATTCAATTATCAAATTTAGAAATTATAATAAATGATATGATGATAAATTTAATTCAAGTTTCGAAAATTAATTAACATGTGGTAAGCAATTTTTGTCTGCTTTAAAATTTTCAAAGTTAAAATTAATAATTAATTTATCAAATTACCGATGATCCGTTTAAGCGCTTCATACCATTTATCATTTTGTATCAAACTATCTACATTTTTTAAAATTTTTCGCCTTTCTCTTGCCGTAACATATCGTTGAGCAAGTCGAGCTGGCCAAATAATTACCTCAAGAAATTAAAATTTAGAATTTAAATTTTATATTTTTATATCACAATTACAGCCTCATTTTTCATATTCAATCAATCAATAATTCCTATTGCAAAATTACAAATTTCTATGCAAGTTCACGCAAATAAACCCGTAGAAATTCCTATCAAGTTCACACGATTGGGAAAATTCACGTAATTAATCCGTGGAGCTTCAATCAAGTTGACGTAGTTGACGTAAAAAAAGATTAAAATTAGTTGAAATAAATAAATTGATTTTGTATGTACACCTTTTTATAATGCTTCCATATAAATACAAGCACCGAATTACCACAATCGCCAAGTGCCCAACGTCCTTCAAGCGTACGACAAAAACTTTCTGCTCGATCTGACAATTGCCTATAAAATTTGTTTTTCATTTTAAAATTATTAAATGAAATTTGAACAATTAATTTTTTTGTTTAAATATTCTACTCCTAAATAATCAGTTCAAAATTATATTCCTTTTTTATTTTTAAAAAAAAAAGCGACCAAAAATAAAAGATGGAAATATTTTGCTAACTAGTTTTTCTCCTTCTTTTTTATAATTTTATTTTTTTAAAAATCAGTATCTTCCAACAAATTGAGAACAGATGTCAAATTAATTATTTCAATGAAACGCTATCAGCAATTTCAAATAA